ATTTACTGTTTACTATCGATGCCATATTTCAACAGGGTTATGTATTAATGATATGGAAAGTTAGTAGGGAAGTAGAATAATCATGTCCGTGATTTCTGGCCATGTTTCTTGTTGGACAGTTGTTTTTGTCTTTTGTCAGTTTTTGAAGCAGTTGAATGAAAACTGAAAACCTTGATTGACAGGTTTTTGTATTTGTAATATTTTATCCATGCTATCAGATTAAAGAATGATGACGTTAGTGCATGTATAAACGGTTGTTCCTAATTTAGTTTGCATGTTCTTGTTTTGTTTGAAGTAATTTGCCGTTTACAACGCCAAATACATGCAAAATTGCAAATCCTTCCAAAAAAGACATGCATGGATATCTATTTTTCAGGTTTGTCATATAATAAATATTCTTTTGAGTGCATGGTTAGACATATAATCCTGCCGAGCATTTTACTCGTTCGAAACTCGTAAAATACTCGGCCGGATTATATGTCAAACCATTTAATAAGATATACAGTATGTATATATACCATATAGATCACCAGCTTATGTGGAAATCTTGTTCAGTTGTTTGTTTTCTTTTAATGGAAAGTTAGTAGGGAAGTAGAATAATCATGTCCGTGATTTCTGGCCATGTTTCTTGTTGGACAGTTGTCAACATTTCCAACATTCCGTAGCGTTTGAGTACTTTTTGTGAATAAAAGATTTAAACCATGTGGTTTTGTTATCGCTATTGTCAATGTAGTGTTTTATGCTGTTTGTGTTGCTTGTTGTGACAGTTGCCTTGTATACTATGTTCTTAGTCGTGCATTTTCCTGAAATGGACACGTGTTCCTATTCCTACAGTTGAAACTGTCTCTGTCTTCGCTTTTTGGCATGTGTTTTCCTAATTATGCGTGTATCTGGTAATTAAGAAATTAGGTGGAAAATGGAAATGATTAGATGGGAAATGTTAATTATGGACTTCACATTGTTCGTGCAACTATAGTGACCTTAATTACTGTGTTTCTGTTAACGAATTTGTGAAGTTTGTGATTAGCTGGGAAATGTTTGTCCTGCATGTGTTGTTTTTGACACTCTTACTTAATCGAGGGTTTCATTGCTTTTCTGCGTGATTAGTGGTGTTTCCTTCATGTGGCCTATAGTTTGTGATTGACATGACAATCATACGTATAAACAGACATTCAAGTCACCCACCAAGTGTCTTAAAACAACTAACTACATCCACAAGCAAGCACATTTCACTTCTCTCGTCAGACGAGCAAACTTTTCACGAAACTGCACCTATTTACCAAAATACATTAAGACACAGGAATTTCAATCACAAACTAGGCTACAACTCGTAAACCTGTAGATGTAATTATACAACTAATGAAATACAAATTGTCGACATTTGATATTTTTGTCAAGTCATTTTTATTTTATCATTGTAGTACAATCCAAATGTGCCTATTTTTATAGGCTCAGCGACTTAGTTAACGCTCTATATACAGGGCGTCTTGTTCTTATAAAAATCGTTTTAATTTCCAGAAGTGGTTATCCTGAACCAGATGATTGCATTTTGGACATGATAAATGCACATTTAAAGGTATGTGTTGAATATGAATTTTCAAATCTTATTCTATAGACAGGGAGTTTCCCCATTTTTATGTTAACGTTTATACGATTATTGAATAAAAAGTAACTATAATAATACATATAGGAAGGAATTCTTTCTTTTCTAATAAAATTCTTAAACATCCTTTCAGCATGAAATATTGAGAATGAGTAACTCCTGACTCATAGCGAGATCAGTGGTATATCTAAAACTACAAAAAATGGTAAAAACAACGGGAAGATTGTTATTAATACTGGATTTATCAATATCCCAAAATCCAAAAATATAATTATTAAAAGTACAATAACAGTGTAATAACACTTTCGCAAACAGCATTATTGATGCATTTTTTTTCTTTTGTTACTATACTATAGATGACTCGTGAGGGTCGCATGCTTAACCGAGGAGTTCTGGTAAGAATATGCATGATTTTTACACTGGTTTAGCGTACAGGAGCCTGTAAACGTTCATTCGTTAATCTACGGCTCGTATCTAATATACGCCAATAATAACCCCCCCCCCCCCCC